GCTTGCTGTTCAATTGCTCTACCTGCACTTCAGGGAGCATGGTGTCTCCTGTTGGGTGATGAACACTGGAAAAGAGAACAGTCTTCCTGAAGCTAGAGTGGTATTGGAAATGAAGATCTGGCTTCACTTGTGCAAAATGACAAAGGGGACTCATACATAGCAATCATGCATCCCTATGAACAACTGGGAGCCCCAATTACTACCTGTAGCATAACTGAAGTTTTTGCTCTGAAAATATGCAAGGCCAACTTCTCCTGGTGGAGTCCACTACTATTGTAAGTACCACCACTATCACAAGGAATGGAATGTGGGTTCTATTCAATTATGACATAAAGGATATGTCAACAAATGAATTTAATACAACAGATGTTTGTTGCTTTCAGGTCAATTACCTGCAACAATTGTTTTTGATTGTTTGTTTGTTTTTAAGATTTATTTATTTATTATGTATACAGTGTTCTGTCTGCATGTATCCCTGCAGGCCAGAAGAGGGCACCAGATCTCATCACAGATGGTTGTGAGCCACCGTGTGGTTGCTGGGAATTGAACTCAGGACCTTTGGAAGAGCAAGCAGTGCTCTTAACCTCTGAGCCATCTCTCCAGCCCTGTTTGTTTGTGTTTTGACAGAGAAACACATGATCCCAAACTGACTACAATACTATGTCACTGGAAACATATGTGACAATAGTGATTGCTGTAAAAGTCAGAGGAGGAAATACTTGACAGGTCATATACACAGACCCGATTAATGGTGTTATACAAAGTAGCCTTACCATTAAAAATCTTGAATGATTAAATACACTTCATTCATTTATACAAATAAACAAAATAAAAAACTTAGGCAGTATCTGGCACAGGCTGAGAGACCACAATTTATGAGTCCTTGTGTTATTATTTCTAAAATGGCTTTCTTTGTGCTCACTCTTTTCCATTGAGGTGTAAAGCTGTGGACCATAGTCACTTCAATCACTACCAGTTTGTTCATGCATGTAACACCTGTTAGTACAACTATTCTAGGAAACTAGCCTAGCCCAATCAATGATGCTCCTTTACTGTCTCTCTGAATTCCCACAGGACTTACTAAGTATACCTCAAATGTAAGCTTTAAATTTAAAAACATAGAGGCTACTTTGCAATGATTTCATATACAGATCTTGTACTTTTAAGATGTTTTCCATACTCTTCCAGGAACCCTTAGTTGTTCATAATTCTTTATGTATCCTTATACACTTGGGCCTCCATGAATGAGTAGAAATAAGCATGCAACTTTGCATCCAGATAAGGATACTCTTGAGAGTCAAAGAAATTATTATAGATAATCAAAAGTATAAACAGACTATCCTAGACAACTACAGTGTATAGTCACCTTAATAGAATTGAATTTGATCAGCATTAAATTAAAATCATTCCACTTCATCATGTAATTTTCCAGATATGGGATTTTGTTTACACTTATTTTAGTATATTAAGTCACTGGAAACTCTTGACATATTATGGAATTTTATTGAATTTTTGTATTTTTTCGGGAGGCATGAATCTTCAACAAAATAGTCATTTGCTGCCTTTTAAAAATATTTCTTGAGATAATATAATTATATCACTTTGAAATTCAAACCATGTTCAACAAGCTTTTAAATATTTAGTATTGAAAACAAAGCCAAGAGTGACAAAAGTAGCTTTGATCCTAATTCCTTCTCGGTAGAAAATGTCCAATCCAATGTCTTTCTGTTCTGGGTAGATGAAGGAAGATTATGTTAGGAACTGTGGTTCAAGGGGCCCAATTTTGAAGTTCAAAGTATATTTATATTAAATTAAATCTCAAAAATATGAAGATGCACATTGTGACTTTTTCATTTCTTGTGGAATAAGCTATGGAAGAATACATAGGGGAACTAGTAAAGTCTAATGATAAATTCATGCACAAATAATGAGTAAAATCTTGTCTACTGTCATACTTGATAATATTTCTGTCTGTTTATCTAGTATCTATCTGTCTAGCTATGTATTTATCTATCATTTTCCTGTCTACTTGCCTATCATTCATCTATCTAACATCTTTCTATCTCTCCATCCACCTATCCACCTACCTAGACAGACAGAATACCTTCAGCAATTATAACTTAATGAAACAAATCTGTGCGTTGATTTATGTAAAAAATAATGTAATGTTTAGGTTCAGCTGCATGTGCTTGCAGTTCTGGTTATTGGGGTGGGTAAGACAAAAAATGAATTGAATACAGTTACCCAAGGACAGCCTCAGTAACCTAGAAGTCTTGTATGAAACAACGAAAAAGATCAATTTTCCTGTGATAACACTGGTATAATATCGCAATAATATATATTTGAATGCTTGAATGTATACTGAAGATTCCAATATCTCTGATCTGATGGGCCAACCCATAGATTCCATCTGTCATTGTGCTAAAACGAAAGGTTTAATGATTAAAAATACAGTGCAGCTGAATGAATTTCAAGTACTTGAACAGCGGCAGTTTCACCATCCGCTCCAGATCAAAATTTGCTGTCTTAAGAACAACAAACAAACAAACAAACAAACAAATGGGCAATACACTTCCAGCAAGACCCCAAGAGGGTAAGTGTAGCAAAGGAAGCACTATATAGATAAATTGTGTTTCCTTTTGAATATTGCATTCTGTAATAAACACACTTAATTCAAATATAGGCAGTTGTTTATAGCAAAGACATTCTAGTCTTTGTCACTTCATGGTTTCACATTAGGATATTAACTAAATTATCATACTTTTCCATCCACAAAGTTTCAAATGAATCTAAAGTAGACCACCAGGAAGGAATAGGAAGTCAAAAATAATTACAAGGGAAACAGCATGCTTCCCTCAGAAAAAAATGCTTGACAGAGTCTCACCTACCCATGGACCTCTAAGACAAGTCCTGAAACAACATGATTTTAAGAAATTAAAATCTAATGAAAAGACCTGACTTATCCCTTCCTGGTATTAGTGTGATGGGGGAGGGGTATTCAAATAGCACTTATTCCATAGTGAAACTAGTAGAGGGCAAACAATCAAACTGTATTTGAACATATTGGTTCACGGGGTTAATGGGTCAGGTGAGCACTCTATCTTCCTATATTTCTAAGGTAGACAACATTTACTTTTATGTCCAAAGGGACCGGGTCTCTGGAAACTCAAGAGGGAAATTCATCTAAGGAACAGCCTGTGTTCTCATACTTCCTTATCATCCACAAATTCGAAAAGGTAAAAGTTCCTTGATTCGCTAATGTTAATAAAGATGGAAATCTAAAGAACAATAATTAAAAAAAAACATACTCTGAAATGCTGAATAGAAGAGCAAGCCTAGGTTAAAGTCATCTATTTGGGCAATGTATCGTTATCATAATTAAGCTATTACTAAGGATTTAAATTTTATCAGAGGCATGTGTTTTTCAGTGATGTACTTCACCTTCATTGTTCCCCAGATGGTAAGATTATAATGAATTTAAAGTTGGGTACATCCTTTAACAATGCTGGCCTAATTATCAGAAAACAAATATGATCCAAAGATAGACCTATGGGGCAGAAGAGATGGCTCAGTGGTCAAGAGCACTGACTGCTTTTCCAGAGAACCCAGGTTCAATTCTTGGGCACCCACATGGTGGCTCAAAACTGTCTGAAGCTCCAGTTCTAGCAGACCTGACACCCTCACACAGACATACATGCAGGCAAAACAGCAATGCACATAAAATGAAAATAAATAAATTTAAATAGGTTACATAAGAGGAACATAAAGGGTTAGACTTTGTTGAAGGAAATTTAAATATATAAAAAAAAGATATACCTGAGATCCCTACGTCCTTTATGGTGTAGAACCCTACTTTAAAACCACTTCCTAGAAAGGCATGATTACTATCTATATAAATAAAAGGAGAAATGTGAGATCTTATTTCAGTGTACTTGTTTTCCTTACAGAACATATCATGGATTCATGTTTCACAAAGTCATCTTCACTAGATTCTTTTTTTGAGACAAGATTTCTTTGTATACCCCTGGTTGTCCTAGCTCAGTCTATAAACCAGGCCAGCTTCAGAATCAGAAGTCTTTCTGCCTTTGCCTTCCGAGTGTTGTGATTAAAGGTGTGCACCATCACCACCCAGCTTTTACTAGATTCTAAATCATTTTCTTCCATATGGTTATAAAAATACAGCATTCAAAATCCCAGTGCTTGCCTCTACCTAGTTCTACTTACAATAATCAATGTTTGACTCTGCAGATAAGTTATATGAACATACTCATCTATAGCTATTCATTGAGCTTATACTTTACGAAAGAGACTGCTGTATGTGCAACAGTAAGCTCTAACTTGTTTGTGAAGTTAAACTTGTTCTCCAAAAATTGCCCGTTACTCACTATGTGGTAGAGGGAGATATTAGTAGACATGTGAGGATTTGAACATATCTGAAAATTATAAAGAGGCTTGCAAGGGACCTTGAAGTAAGAGTTGGAAAGAAAGGGACAGAATCTCTACATCTAATTCTCTACACCATATACATACAGGAGGTGAAGAAACTGGGGAGTGCTGGTTTGTCAGGAATCTAATAAGAGCATGGGAGAAACAAAATACAAGGGAGTCATCATCTCGAAGGATAATTTTAGTCTCCTTTTCATTGTGTCAAAGGAAGAAAATCATGTGTTGTCCTTTCTCAGCAACACTTCATGGACATTTTTGTCAAGAAACTTAAATCAGTGTATGCCTTCATGAAATCTCCATGAGAACCTTGGGCCATTCCAATAAGATCAAACATATTTTATGGACTCCCACTCTGAATATTAAAGGGCTTAATGTAAATTGCTAAAAGCTGCACAGTTAGCAAGGATTAAAATGATGTCTGAACAAGATTAACCCTGAGTACTTGCTATTAACCTGATATGGACATGACTGTTTTTACTTAAGAGTAGAGGTCATAGAGTTGCCTGCCTCTCACTCCCTCACAATTTTCAGGAAGGGTCACAGGACCCATTTTGTTTTGTACCCACCTGCATGCGGGAGTAGTCCACAGTGTGACTTTCCCGGCTTTTGGAGGGTTTTGTTTTCGCACTGCTCGATGCCCAGTTGGTCAAGGAAGGGACCAATGGGTCACTTGCCAGTGCTAGAGACAACAAAGCTATGGGGGTGGGGGATCATGTGGTCTGTGCAGGGGAAGCAGCTTGGAGGAGGGGGTGAACAAGGAGCAGGGATTACAACTTGGGGTCTACTTCAGGGGAAAGAAATAGGAGTTGAGAATTAGGTGAGTCTGTGTTAAGAGTTGCAGCAGTCACTGCCTAGTTGTAGTACCTTAGAAAACTTGTTCAAGGCCTCTTGGCTTCTGTTTCTTCACATGTTGAAGAAAACCAGTAATATTTTCATCCTCGATTGTTGTGAGAATTATGGGGAAAATGTGCAGAATCCAGTGCAGGACCAATATTAGATGTTCACCATATAAGAGCATCTGTCATACTTAGACACCTTTCTACTTCTCAAGGACATTATCTCTTTCATGAATTACCATGTTTGAAACATTTGTTTTAAAACTTACAGAGCTATTTCTTTTTTTAAAAAAAATTTCATGTTTCTCTCTGTGTGTACTTGTTCTGTCATAGGCCAGAAGATGGTTGCATATCCCCTGGAGCTGGAGTTAAAGAAAGTTGTGAGTTACCTACCTGACTCCGTCCCTTGGAAGAGCAGCATGGACTCTTAACTGTTGTGCCCTCTTGTGCACCAGGGAATTATTTGTAGTGAATAATTCTACATAGTTCCACTCCTTCTATAATTCCCCTCTCACAAAACAAAGTTGCTTTGTACTGCATTGCTTATGTTGGCTTAAAGGTGGGGTGACTGCTCAAAACTGTGTATTATTTCTTGTAAAAGTACATGGATCATTATACTCGAATTGTACTAAGGACAATGATACATCTTTCCTGTGTATCTGGATGGACCTTAGTTTCTCCCAAATGTACAAAAAGACAACACAATACATTTGATGCACCTCCCATTTCCCCCTCTTGGTTATAACTGAAAAGCTGCCACTTGGACATATGTCTGGCAAATAATCATTTCTTCCCCCCAGGTTTTGCTTCATTAGCTCAGCAACTATTCATTGGTAATTTTTATAAAGCAAACCCAACACTAAAATAATATTATCCCAAACAAAAATACACATACCCAATACCCCCTGTACTTCTGCCAGACTGAATGTCCAATATTGGGTACTCAGCCACCTGAATTCTAAGATTCTGGCCTCAGTGAATACAATGGGATTAATTATAACCTTTTAGTGTGTGAATCACTATTATCATCGTACCACCCATGGCTCTCTTGCTATAATTAATTTGTTATTTAAAATTATGCACTGTGAATATCCAATTTTAGGAGATAATGCCAACATTTTCCCAAGCATTTGTAAAGATTTGTATTTCTGCCAGCAATCTATAATAGACCCACTTGGTTGATATTCTTGTAAATGCTTGATTCTTTTAAACTTTATATTTTTTATCAGTATAGTCAATGTGGAATGTTACCTTTTTTGTTTTACTTTCTCTACTCTACGAGACTGTTTCCTAACCCCAAACTGAGGACTGTGTTTTTTTACTTCCTAGATACTAAAGGTTTAAGGAAATAAGAACAACAAAAACAGTTTTAAAGTAAGTATTACCCAATATATGAGTATGGAAACAACTATTCTCCAGGAATGAAAATGCATAAGCTAATCTGTAACTCAAAAATGGTATTTTCCAGTCTGAAATGATAGAACAATGGCAATTAAAGGAAAAATAGAAATTAATGTGTTTTTTTTAACTAAATCTTAATCGTTTGATTTTACCAATAAAGACCTGGGAGCCAGATGCCGGGGTGAAAGCTTACTACCTCAGAGAGGCAGACAAAGCACCCAGTTGACCTTCGTCCTCCACTGTTGTCCCCCCAAAAAACTCCCTTTCTCCTTTACTGTCTCAAACAAAAAACCTGAAACTGAATGTCCCTCCCCTCTACTTCCTGTGTGTCTCTCTAGCCATCCTCCTGACTCCCTCTTACTCTCTATGCTTTTTTCTTGTTCACTTCCTGTTAACTGGTTGCTTGCTCTGCCTCTTGACCTATGCTTGACTTTATTTAATCCTGTTTACAATTAGCAGAAAGCTCTTGAATTAAAGCTGTGTACTAGGGCTGAGTCACACCACAACTTGAAACAGGTTTTTCCAGTAAATAACACAATCTCAAGGTTCACAGTGTGATCAAATATCCTACAGCATTAATGTGCTGACATATGTCTTTAATTCCAACAAAAGTAAGCAGATCTCTGTGAGTTCTAGGGCAGCCTGGCCTACACAGTGAGACTGTCTCAAAAAATGTCTTTGATCAAGTAGGAAAACTGACATAGTGTGTACCATGTATAAGGGACTTATGCAAAGGGCTTTGATGGCACATAGGAAATAGATGCTTACTGAGATGGAAGAGGTAACTGCAGTTTAGCTTCATGCTAATTTATAGGAGCACTTTCAGAAGGAACTTCAGCTGAGGAGCAGGCATCAATGATTCTTTACCTTTTTTTATATGCACAGTCTAAACACTTAGGGCACTCGATTCTTTTGTTTGATTCTTATTTGCTGGTCTCATTTCACGAATAAAATCCTGAAAACCTTGGGAGGTCAGAGATCCTGGTGAACATTTTTTTGCAACCCCATTAATTCTTGATAGTGCTGACAGTATAATAGTTCTGTGTAACTGTTTCAGCATTATTCAAGGGTATCCTTGTATTACTGTCCAACTATCATACTGACTCTTTATTATACCCATTCTTTACTGTAACCTTCATAGACACAAAGAGAAGGAAAAAAACTGCAATTCAATCAAAACGTACTAAATAATAGTTCTAGAATCTTCTTTCAGTCTGATGTTTACAACAAATTGTGTGAAAACTTTTGAATAATTTAGAGCAATAAACAGCATACTTTCTTTGTGGCAGGGATGTTTCGATATGTTAACTGGATTTTTTTGCTCTTTTCAAAAAGTAGGTTACATCATTTTTAGTTCTAATGCAAACTTAATGCATTGCCTATTAATATGAAGAATCAAATTAACAAACTTGGATTTATACAATTTTTGAAAGATCATAAACTGAGAAGTTTATCAATGGCATGGATATAATAAAGTATAATGAAGACAGAGCTGCAGATCTGGATTTGTCAATGATTGCTGTCCAAATGGTCACTGACCTTCGTCTGAAGGTCTTAGAGAGCCTGGCTATCATTTTTCCTTTCTCTAATTTAGTGACTATCCTGTCTCTTAGCTATAACTCTGCCATAGGATCACAAAGTCAGTGTACTGTGGAAAAGAAATTAAGTACTTTAAAGGCCAAAATTTAATGTTAGCTGATGACAATAACACTAAAGAAATTTTTCTGAGAACAGGTCATTAATCATAATGTAGGGCACATGGAAACCACATAAAAATCTTATTAATTATTTCACTTTCATTTGCTCAGTTAGGAAACCTAAAATATAAATCAATTCCCTGAACTAGTGAATAGTGAAAAAGAAAGAACTCAGTTTAGTAGGCTGGGGTATACAGCTCACTTGTAGACCACTTGCCTAGTACGTGCAAGGTCTTGGATTCAATCCCTATCACCACATACACATAAAAGTAAAAGGTGGTTTAGATAGGAAATAAGACAGAGGGTAGACTTGGTTTCTTAAAATTGTGCCATGGAAAAAACATTGGCCACACAAATCCTAAACACCTGAAATCAAGCCTAGCAGGGTAGCCATATGGTGGCCAGGCAAATCTATTACAAGTGTAAACATTACACAGCTCTTCCTGTGTAATGTCAAAACTATGGGATACAGATGAGAAATCTAGTGCTGTATATCTATGTGTGTCTAGGAATTTCCCTTTGGGGTAGTGGCTACCCATATTGTCATATTCTCCTAATCAACATCTTCTTGACATCTTCTCTCACTTTACCTATTTTACCTTTATTCCTCTTAGTTGTGTAACACAGCAAGTTGACAGGTCTCATCAATTCTGTTCTTTCAATGGTCATTGGCTTCCAAAGCCTTTCATGAGATACCACATAGATACACTTCTCCAATCATACACTTTGAAATACTCATCTTTCCGGCCTCTCCATATCCCGAGTTCAATTCTATCTTCAATTTTAAGCTCAGAACCTCTTCTTACACACCGTTGCCATACAACCTCTATTGTTCACCTCGCATTAGGTCTCATAGTGCCTCCCATGATCTTTCTTTTCAGTAATATATTTTCAAATATACGTTTTCCTAAAGACTGAATCACTTTAAAATATATTTTGTTGCATCCATGATACCTCAACAATATGAAGGCCTAAACAAGACCCAAACAGGTACCAACACCAATAGACATGCTAACACAAAAGAGGGACATCTCACAGGAACTTACCCCTAAACAAATATCACAAAGCCCCATCCCTACAGGCAACTAAGGAATGCTGAGAGAAGGAGAATAAGTCTTCTTCTCTAGGGATAAGTTGCCTGATTGTTTATCCAATACAAACTGGTGAGTCATGAAATCATATATATATACAAGTAAGACTAGAGAGACTAAGCATGTTGTATTTACACATTATATGCACACATGTCTCTCTTCATATTTATATGTGTATATATTATACAATATAATATATATAGAGAGAAAGAACAAGAAAGAGAGAGCAATGACAATTGAAAATGAGGTTATGAATTTAAGAAGAGTGGGTGAGAGCAGTTGGAGGGAGGGAAGAAAGGGTGCAATGATGTAATTATAGTTTAATTTCAAAAATTTTAAAATGTATTTTAGTTCTGTCTTCATAAATTTGAAGAAGTCTCTGAAATAGCAGGGTTCCATGTTATAAATACATGGCCATTATTTTCCTTTCAGAAACTGAGATAACTGTTACACAGCAACATAAAGATATGTTTATAAACTAAAATGTGTTTTTTTAAGGCAGGAGGAGTGCCAGAATCATCCATGTGAATATTAATTAAAGAGAAGTAACAAGGGGCAAATAATGGGAGAAAGTTGTGCTGCACTTAAATGTTAGCACATCAAGTACCCAATACAATTTTAATATAATTGTCAAAAATATAGTAGAACAAAGACAAT